TTTGAGGTTGACAAAATACTCACTGGAATTATTTTCGAAGCAAAGAAAACTGATCCTCAAGAGTGTTGTTACTTTAGGTTCTTGTGTCTGTCTGTTTGCATGAAGCCAAAGATCTAAAAAACGATGCAGACAAATTTCTGCTTATTTGGTTTTTTCTGATAGTATGAAGATGCAACTTGTTAATAAAAGCTTATTTAATAAAAGCCAATGCCACTACCTTGAATCATTTTGCAGCCAGAAAAATATCCCGAATAAGAATGTGTTCCACATTAGTTCATATCTCTCAGTAAGCAGCTTCCACAGACAGACTTCTGTCTATAGAGATTGGCTATGGTACAGTGTCAGGATTTCTAAACTGCAGGGTAGAAAAGAGATCCTCTCCTCGGATGTTGGACATGGCCAGCGTGACCACGCTGTCTTCGGTGCCTGCCTTTCCCCTTCTTGTCTGGGTTCAGATTTTCATTGCAGTCACAGGCACCAAAGCCCCAGTGGATAAAAAGTGCTTGCGCCATTTTCCTGTAGCTCTAGGAAGGAGGCAGTTGCTGTTCTGCTCCTGAGGCTCTCTTCCTCCCTGGGATTTTCAACACAGGATCACTGGGGATAATCCTGACATTTATAATGGGGATGGGGCAATTTCTAGAACAAGTTACTAAATCAAGAGCATCTCATCTGTACAGAGTTAACCATAAAACCATCTTCGGCCAGGTTCTCCAAATTTGGTTTTCCCAATTCCTGAAACGCTTTGTCTTTATTTCCAGAAATGTACTATTTGATTAACAGAAAGCCCTAAATTTCCTAAACCCTCCAGTCTCCCAAGAGTTCACGGTATAAGAACAAGTGTGTAACCAGGTTGCATATGTCTGTAATCCCAGGCCTATGGGAGGCTGAGGCAGGAGGATTACAAATTTGAGCCCAGCTCGGGCAATTGAGTGACTTAGTGCAACCGTGTCTTAAAATAACAAACATAAGAAGGGCTGGGGATGTCGCTCAGCGAGAAGGCCATGAGTTCAATCCCCAGTACTGGAAAGAAAAAGGGAGAACATTGGAGGGTGCCTGTGATCTGTAGCAGCTTTTTTGAATAATTTTGAAAGTGACTTTTTGTTAGCAAAAATACTCTCTCTTTTTTGTCTTTTCTCTAGTGGGTCACCGGGGGAAGGGGTGGAGGGGATGGGTAAGTGTGTTTCACAGGGAAGGCCCAGATTTGCAGCTTTCTAAGTGTTCAACTTCGAAGAAAGCAGAATTAGGCTAGTACCCTTCATTGGCCCTTCACGGTTTGGGTGAGGAATGAGGAGAGAGAAAGTAAATCGATTGGATTTGCTAGGTGTTCTTGGAGGACCAGACTCCATCCCCCGCCCCCTGAAAAGCTTTCTATTGACGGTTCGTAAAACATACATTTCAACCCTTGCCTACAACTGTTGTCAGCCTCATCTCCCTTTTTTAGAGCTTTGTGCTACACACACACACACACACACACACACACACACACACACACCCTCTGTAGGTGTTACAATGAGCCTCAGGAATTGCAGTGTTCAGCTCACTGGTTTGATAGGTTGCGTCTGCAAGTTTGAGAGCAGGATGTTTTATTTTTTCACCATCCAAACAATAATGTGACCACATCACGGGGTTTTTAGTCACATTGTTGACCTCCACCGGCAGCTTATCCCCCACAACACTCAGATGCATTGATGTCAGAGTCTGTAGCATTCTGATTTAATTAGAGCAGTGTTTATAACCCTCTTGGGGAAATCCCACCCCCTCCCCATGTTAACATAAAGCCCCTCTGATTTTCATCTGTCTCCCATTTGCCTTGGAGGTGAGTGAGCTGTCAGCTGCTTCTTGTTGGTGTCAGACAAGCGGTTATGAGAATAAATATGTTCCCTTTATCTGGCGCATTGGCTGTTAGTCTCCTTAAGTCCCTCTGTCTAGGTGTCTCCCTGTGGTACTTTTTTGATTTTCCTAATTGGAGGATGTGCTGACTTATCACCATAGGTGTGAAGTCCATGGTTATATATCATAACAATATAAGGGCTATGGATGTCACCCTAGAGCAGTGATGGCGAACCTTTTAGAGTCGAGTGCCCGAACTGCAACCCAAAGCCACTTTGTCACACAGTGCCAACACTGCAATTAAACCTGAGTGCTGAGGCTTTAGTTTAGAAAAGACAACTCAGACGTTAACATCTTTTGTCTTAAAAGGAAGCCCAGTAACATGCATGCCAAAGGTTCACCAACACTTCCCTGGAGTCACAAATGGAGAAGGAAGTAGCTGTGTGTGTGTGTGTGTGAGAGAGAGAGAGAGAGTGTGTGAGAGTTTCTCCTCCGAAAGGCACCCATGTACCGCACAACGTCCTTGCCAGAGTCCCCTGAGTGACCTGGAGGCTGCTGAACTCAGGGTTCCAGGATGATGTGTTGGCTGCCGTCATATTGCTTGAGGCCCTAGAAGCACATTTTGCTTTTACCCCCTCTTGGGCAAGGGAACTCTTTGATACAGACAGGTCTCTTCACTGAATCTTTTCAGTAGTCCCCTGCGTGGAAGCCATCTTCAGGAATGAGAGGAGCTCAGGCATCTCTGTCACTCAGTCTCTGGGCTGTCTTCTGTAGGTTTCGTCATGAGATAGGATGTTTGTCTCCATCTAGAATTTCTTAGATGCTGGGGATGCATTAATCCCAGGAGAAGTGCTCAGATGTGCTGTTTCAGTGTGGTCGTGAGGACAAGGAACTGTGCAGAGGTGAAAAACAGTGGGCCTGCTTCCAAAGGCTTCTGTGACACGAAGACACGTTGCAGTGATAAAGTAGCAAGTCGTGCATCCTGTAAAGCTGATACCTCACCGAACTCTTGTGTGTTGGCTGGACAGCTTTGAGGGCTGGGTCTTTCCAGCTTGTTCTTGATGGAGTCAGAGGTACCGGGTAAGGTGTCGCCTTTCTCTTGTGTATACAAACTACAGGATCCTCCGAGTTTCTCCTTAAATTAAGGAAAAAGCCGCAGTGTTACTGTCTTTTTCTCTTGCCCTACCAGCTGAAGACTCTGGCTGTACAGAGTTTTCTTCATCAATAGTTTCATTTCTGCAAAAGCCATAACAGAACGCTATTTCTGGGAATCAACTTAACGGTAGCTAACTAGACATATGTTGGGATTATGGGGTCATATGAGGATCCAAAGTGTGAGAATTTAATAAATTAGAGAAACAGACTATGTTTGCAATGTTCAGAAGCCCACCTCACCTGGAAAAGCCCTCAAACAGATTTAATATAAATCTCCCCATATATGTAATTATGTACCTTTGCCTCTTTGACCTCAGCCTCAAAGCAAATACCAGCATGTCCAGCTCATCCCTAAATTGGAGCCGCTTAAAATATGTGTGATGTTTGGTAAAGCTCAGGAGAAGTGAAGTTGAAAGTGTTGCCTGTGGGTGATCTTTCACGGGGTATCTTGCTTGATACAGAAAAGTCACATTTGGGGGTCTGTGGGCCTGCCCTTAATTAAGAAACTTACTGGGAAGGTTTCAAGATGTGTGTTTAAACAGAAATGTGCCAACCACCCTACATGCTGCTAGTGGATGCCCTGGGGAAGGTATAAGCGATGCCATCTGGGAATTACAATAATGTGTATATATTCACTTAAAATTGAAACTTCCTACCACAACCACCAAAGTTTCCAGGCTGTGAGTAGAAGTTTTAATTTGGTTAGATGGCTGGAGTCTCCCCTGCTTCCTTTTGCACATTTGATAAGAAGTAAAATGTTAAAGAATTATCTTTCCAAAAAGTAAACACCCCCTTTACTTTAATCTAGGATTTTCTTTTGCTCCTGATTTTTACATTCATAGTGGCAGCTCGGTGGTCTCTTCCTTTCAGCTTATTTTTGGACCTCGTGTGTCCCACTTAATTTTGCTCAGTGAAACCACAGCAAAGTCACAAGTTAGGTTTATGTGTGGACTGCAAGTCAAGTACATCCGAGACACAAACTGTCCTGCTGTCCTAGCTGTGCGCGATGGTTTTTTGCTATTATTTGGAGTATTTTAACTTACAACTAACAATAATCCTTCCTAACCCCATCCAGTTTGCTTTAATTCAGACAGCAAATATTGCCTCTCATTTGGATGCAAATGACGGATCTCTGGAAGCCCCTCCTTCTGTTGGACAATGAGCATCATCATTTAAACTTTTCTTCCCATAAACTGAAATGATTCTTTTAATGATCTCCACAACCCTCGGAGGGAAAAGAAATGCAGACTCTGAAGCAGAGAAGGAAGGAACACAGATATGTGTCAGTGTTCCAGATAATGCCATTCAAGGAAAAATTCAAATGTTGGATATTTTGGGTTGTAGTTAGTATATAGTGAGACAGACACACTAGAAGAATCTTGCTCATGCATTTAATAACTAAATCTAGACCTTATCTGTGAAGCCACCGCTTTCCACTTGGCCTGGTTAGCTCCTTTACTGGTTCTGAGTATGGGATCGTACTCTGATTAGAAAGTTGGGGGTATTGCCAGAGAAGAGGAAAAAGTTGGTTTTTTGAGACAGGGTCTCACTACGTAGTTGAGACTGACCTGGAACTCGCCGTGTAACCCAGGCTGGTCTTGAACTCACAGTGACCCTCCTGCCTCAGCCTCCTGAAGTGCTGGGATTACAGGCGTGTGCCACCACACCTGGGAGGAAACAGTTTTAACGCATCGATGTCATTAACTGTGTGACTTGGAAACCATCATTTTTGAGAGAATTGCCTTAAAGTCATCTCTTTCTCATTTCCCAGACAAACCACTGGGGTGCACACCCGCTGACCCGAGGCTAAAGGAAAGGCCCCGTTTTAAACGCTTCCTAAAATAAACGCCAAGGGCCAGGCACCTGAAGGCCTCCCGCATGCAGTCCCCCGAGGTTGCTCCGGGCCAAATGCCCTGTCTCCCTTTGCTCCTGTACCCTGATAGTTTCACACGATAGTTTCACACCTCCGTTCCACGCTTTCATTGTCTCCCCCTTCCTGCTCTTATTTTTAACAGCAGGAACGCATTTCGTACACACCTCCCGAGAGCCCGGTGCCGAGTTACGCCGCCTCCACCCCGCTTCATGTTCCAGTGCCTCGAGCGCTCAGGATGGAGGAAGAGTCGATCCGCCTGCCCGCGCACCTGCGTGAGTGCCCGCCTGTGAGGCCGCGGCCCACAGCCGCGTCGGGAAGGGGAAGGGAGGCGGGCTCCGGGCCAGAAGGGTTGAGATGGCTTTCGTGGGGCTCCGTCTGACACATCGTCCTAGACTCTTTTGCCCCCATCCTGTAATGGATTCAAAGAGTTTGAGATTCCTGTTCCTTGTTGTGTCATCTCTGATGGTGAAATAATAATGTTTTAAACATCTGGAAATGTGCAGTATGTGGCAGAGGCAGCTCAGACTCCTGGGAGGGCAGATAATTTTTTTCTTTTGCCGAGTGGATCTGCATGTCTAGATTTGCACTTAACTGCCCTTTGGTACTGTGTCTGGTCCAAAAATGTGGCTCTGTTTCTCCTTCAGACTCAATCTGCTTTATTACCAAGCAGTATGCTCTTCCATTCTTTACAGACCTCTTTTCCCATGCTGGTTACTTTTCTTCCCTTCTTTGTGTATACCAACATAAAGCCTTTTTCTTGTCATCCGTCCCCCCGCCCCCGGCCCCTCTCTTGCTTGGGTTTACCTTGTCTCTGCAGCATTGCTTTATAGTATTTCACCTTTTCCAAATCATCCCCAGCCCTTGTGTCCACCTCCTTCCATCTGAGTCCTCACTTGCACCTTGGCAGCAGGGAGCCCAGCCCACCTGGGCAGCTGGTGCTGATCTCCGGAGCATTGACACCTACCATTTCCTTTTCTCTCTGTCCCTTTATTGCCACCCAACCCAGGTGATGAAATGTGATTGGGGCTTCTGGTAAAAGTGAATCACCTGATTCTCATTCTGGTCAGTGTCCAGGAAAGGCCCGATTCTGTGGCTTGAATGTTGCCTAGGTTATGGAGGACCCTGGGGCCATCTTGTCGACCTTCTCTAGTTGATTGAAGTGGTGGTGCTTAGGTCATGCTTGCCATCATCTTTTCCTAGAAAGTGGAGAACAATACGACGTGGGATACAGGCTCCATCTTTCTCTGCAAAAAATCAGAGAATTAGATAACTATGATGTTGAGGGTACTGGGGGAACATTAATGGCTCATCCCTTCTCCTGCATAATGAGGATAGTTGTTGGGATTTTTGCAGGGATTTGGGGACAAATCTTCCAGCCTCCTGTCTGTATCAGTATTTACAAAGTTCCTGTCTATTAAGATGCTCCTGCTTCACATGGGCAGAGAGATAAAGGACACAGCTCTACTCTGCTGTCTTCTGCAGTGAACTTTGAAATAAAGGTTGGGATAAAGGGAACATGGTATTGGCTGTGGGTGCTGATATCCTTAGTAAACGTTAGTGTGATGGCACCACTGGAACATACAGAACTGAAAAAGAAATGGCAGGCAGGTAGGAAGTTTCCATCCAGTGTCCTGTAGCCCCTGCGTTTACCTCAGGGGGATCTCATCCAGGCCATGCAGGCACAGCCCTTCCGCTGCCTGCTCCCATTCATTTGCTGCTGCACTCACGGTCCCCGATTGTCTGCACTCTGCCAGCCATTCTCATGGGCACTCGGGGTGCAGAAATGAAGAACACAGACAGAACGCCACTCTTACGGAACATAAACGCCAGCACAGAGAAAAAAATTGCACAGACTTGTTTCAAAATAAGTAGAGATTTCTTTCGCTTCTTATTCCTATATTTCATGACATCCTCCAGGGAGACCCCACTCCCGGTTCACCTCTGGGTGGCTTTGACATACATAAGCTCTTTGCCTGCACTTTTCCTCTCTAAAGAACTCATCATGCTAAAAACAAACAAGCAAACAAACAAACATACCAAACTGGTAGTTGGGAAATTGTAGCTCCTTCTGGTATCCAATTGTGAGTCAGTCCTTCAACTCAGTTTTCCTTCAACTCAGTACTTTGCGATACTGAATTAGGACAGAAGAATGTTTAGCAGCCTTCCTAGCTTTAAAATATTACTGTTCTCATCTGAGACATCCATCTCACTTGGAACTCTTTCTTTCACATCAACACTTTAATTTCTTGTGTAGATGATTTCCTCATGGTGCCAGCTCTGTACTCATCCCAGCATCTGACTAGATCCTACGGTGTGCCTCACACCCGGTCATAAGTACCAGTAACTATTTTGGGATTGTACTGGGCACTGTACAAAGCCGTGTAGATAAAATTTTTTTGTTGTTCTTACAACAGTATCTGTAAGGTGGATCCTTTATCTCCATGTCATATATAAGGCTTAGAGAATTTAAGTAATTTTTCCAGATTTGTCAAAGAGCTAGTAAGAGTTAGAGGCATAATTTAAACTCGGTTCTATATGACTCCAAAGCTCTTTTCCATCATCTGCAGGTATGAGACTTAACAAGTATTCACTGATGTGCCCACAGCATTGGTTTATGACAGAAATCCATTCTGTCTGTGGCTGAATAGTTTGTATGTCACCCTTCAGTGGATGGGTGGATGGATGGACCCTCATGTAGATAATTATCCAGTGTAGAGCTATGGTTTTCTTCTGGGGCGTAATGAGTAAACAGGAGAATAGTTTTTCCTGAATGCCTGCTCTGTAGCAACTGGAGATACCTCTCCTTGGTGATCTGCTGAGCTGTGTTGGGACACCACTGGTCCTGACATCTGGAATGAATCCTCTGGAAGTGGAGGCTCCCAGGCTCTTGCTGTTTGTCCTCAGCTGGGGCTTTCCGAAGAAGACCCAGCTGCCCTTCTCCTTTCCCTGTTCCAGGACCCAGCCACTTATCATGCTGTTTGAGAGAAACATAGATGGTCAGGGCAGGGCTGTGGCCACTTGAAGATGCATCCCAGCTGAGTTTCCAAACCTAAAAGAAAATAAATATTCTAACAAGGGAATTGGGTTACTGCTGTTTTAATCTGGGATTCCAGACAATTCCCAGTGGAATGCTCGTGGAAAGTACGGGGAAGAATCTGAAAGCCAAGACAGCAGCAGGACTTTTATGGTATTAGTAGGTTGAAAGTATTTTAGCTGCTTGTTTTAAAGAGACACCAGACTGGTGTGGCTCCAAGGGGCTCTTTCCCCATTTGTCATTGATCTCCAGATCTCTACCTCTTTCTTTCTCTTGTTTCATCCTTAACTCAAAATACATCCTTGTAAGGGAAAGGATAGGGATCGTTACAGTTAAGATCCTCCTATGGCAAGTTCCTTGCTGTTTTGCTCTGGGAACGCAGGGCTAGGCCTAGACTAAGGACTCAGCATGACAAATGAACAAGCCATTGAAAAATAGCAAGTGGTGCTTTTCCTTTTATTTGCCTGTGATAAGAGCAAAGTGGTAAAAAGGAGCAGTAGTGTGAAGTGGTCCTGGAGAGGAAGGCAAAAGATCTGGGTCTAGGGAAGAAAAAGAGCCAAAGGAAGAAGGGCTGGCCCCTCACCCTGGTCTGCCTCACTGCCCAAGCGCACAGGATGGTGCCCTTCTGCAGTTCTGCAGCAGCACCGCTCCCCAGTTCTCCAAGATGGCAAACACGAGTGTGTTTCTGGAGCGTACCGGAAGGGCACGGCTCTTCATCTTCCTCTTCCTCCTCCTACTCCTCCTCTTCTCCTCCTCTTCTTCTTCCTCTTCTTCTTCCTCTTCTTCCTCCTCTTCTTCTTCCTCTTCTTCCTCCTCTTCCTCCTCTTCTTCTTTTTCCATGAAGACTACTGAGTTTTGCTTTTAAGTTTGAGGCCAGAAGAGCTGATGTGCAGATTATGGCAGGAGGGTGCAGAAAAACGTCCCGTTCTGTGAAGAGAACGTCGACTTGAAGGACCAAGGTCCCCAGCGGTGCTTGGGCAAGGTCGGTCTTGAGCGCAGCCTAGAGAAGGAGTGGCTTTTCCCTGTTCTCATCAGGGCATCTGCATATGAGGGAGGGACTTTTCTGTAAAAGGTGCCCGAGGACACCTTTTTGAAGCTCACAGGAAAGTGGGTGTTGGAGTAGCAGAAGGCGTGTCATGGTGCCAGCCTGCTTATGGCAGAGGCTCTTGTGTTATCTGTCTTGCTGTGACCAAATACCTGAGACAATCGGCTTAAAAGGAGGACCAGTTTATTTTGGCTCACGGCTTCAAAGGTTTCAGTCCATGGTTGCTTGTCCCTGTCGTCTTTGGGCTTTGCTGAGGCAGCACATCATTGCAGGAGCATATAAGGGGAGAAACTGCATCTGATGGTGGCCAGGATGCAAAACAACAGTGAGGAAGGGAAGGGAACCCAATCCCCCACATACGCCATGTCTTGTGTTTTGTTTTGGGCATGGAACGCAGTGACACACTGCCACTGACCTACATTCCCCCGGTCCTTTGTAAATTTTTTTTTGTTTTGAGACGGTCTCATTATGTTGCCTAGGCTGGCCTTAAACTTTGGCGATCCTCCTGCCTCAGCCTCCTGAGTAGGTGGAATTCCAGATGTGCACCACCGTGCCTGGTCAGGCCAAACCCCCAATGACCTAACTTCCTTCCTTAAAACCTCGCCTTCTGAGGCCTCCACCTCTCCTAGTAGCAACACAGGCTCGTGATGGAGCTTTCCGCACAAGGGCCTCTGAGAGATGTTTAAGAGCCCAACTTTCGCAGACTTACAGTCCATTCAGGGGGATTCTGTTAAACATTATGCCTCGAATAATGATGCCCAGGCCGGACCATACATTAACAATATAAGTGAATTTCAGATGTATGAAGCCCGATTTAAATTAAATGTCTTTTCTTTATTTTAAATTTCTTTTGAACGTTACCCTTTCACATTTAGTTAATGTAATCACAACTAGTCACAGGCCATTGTTACACCACTTCCCAAAGCCTTTGTGTCTTGCTCAAAAATCCCTGCGTATTGATTGTTAAAAATCCGAACCCAGGGCTCATTCATCATATTTAATAGGGTTATGGTCTGCAGTGTCACAGGTTAATAAATGGCCATAATAGCCTCTCTGAGTTTTCTAGAGTCAGAGCACCATAAACAGTCCCCTGGCTCACTTTCCTTTCCCTGTGAATCTTTCAGATTTCTTACATTACTATTGTTGCTTATGTGTGTTTAATAATTTAATTTAATGTCTTCCTTTGGAAATGC